TCAATAAATTTCACTTACCACTTAACTCTGACTGAGGCACTATTTTTGGCATTTTATCGTTAAGCTTTTTATACTCAAAACTGAAAAAAAAATGCGATTTCCGGTATGAATTTTCACAAAGTAACAGAATTTGATTGTTCAACACGCTCATATCGCCCCACTAGACCACCAATTTGCCTAGGCGACAATTTTAAACGCATAATGTTCGCTCCGAGATGTGAGTTTCTGTGACGGGTCCTTAAACTTGTGCCGAGGGTGCGTTTTTGTGTACAAATAGCGCGGTTTTTAATCACGTGATGTAAAATGTAACTGAAATCAATCTATTACCTTATCAGCCCTAATGATAACGTGATTGAATGTGCTCATTTTTTGTCAAAAACGCGCGGAAATGATCATTTGGCGTTTCTCTTTCAGCTACAGCCAGATTGTGCGTGTCTGGACAAACTTTTGACTCCGGTATGTCGTGTCGACAATTTTTACTTACTAATCAACTCTGGCTGAGGCACTGTTTTTGGCTTTTCAGGAACTGGTGTCACAACTTCGTTCAAAAGAGGTAATTTTTTTTAAAAATCATGCAAAAATTCTTAACCTATCGCCTCGTGCACCAACTTCTGATACGTTATCGTGTATTTTTTTGCACTCAAAACCCAGAAATGACGATTTCTGGAATGTATTTTCACAAAACACCAGAATTTAGTTAGCAATTGTGCCCAAATATGTCGTTTACTTCGCACCAATGGAAATGACCTTAGATACCTGTGCAACCAATCAAAACGGTGGAGGCGAGCCAATGGGAAGATCGCGAGGTCGGTTTGCAGTTTTAAGGAACTGCGAGAATGACATCTCCTAAATTTTACAGAAATCGCACAGGTAGTTTGTCAAAAAATGCCCTTTAGCAGAATACCACTTCAAAAAACTACTTAATCGGCAAAAAACGATGCAGTTGAGGTACTTTCGACAAAGTTGTCGTTCGATTGGTCATTGCTACCTGTGGTGTAAACTACTGCCCGTGCATTCGAATAAACCTGTGTGATAAAACCTTTTGAGAATTAAAAATATTATTCTACTTATCAAGTAAGTAGTATAATAATGTGTCCTTTTATCTCAATTTAGTTTGGCGTGTCGACACCGGAGGTAAGCGATCTTAATTGGCGAATTAATTTGACGCGTCTGTGTCCACTCAAACTCCAAATTATTATCCACAATCTAGGACAAACTCTACGAGGAAGTCTTCCGAACTCCCGCCTTTTTGAAGGTATTCAAAGAAGTCATCGAGGACTACTTCGCGAGACCCGTGAGTCGGCAATTTCGTTGCAAGTTGGTTTCCTTTTTTTGGCGGCGCACTACTTTAGCGCGGTTCCGTGTGTCGTTGTCAGGGCGTGCTGGAACGCTTCAAGCCGGCGTGCAACTGTTCAGCACAGCCTTGCACCGCCGAGTGCAACTGCGCCGCCCCGTCTCCACCCACCACGCCGACTCCGGAGAACGTTCTCGCCTCCGCGTCCTCCAAGCACATTCTCGACGCACTCAAAGAGATCTCCCACGGCGTAAGTCCGCGTCTGGCTTGGTTCCAATCGCCGGGAACCCCTCACATCGTGGCTCACTACTCAGTTTCCCTCTCTCTCTCTCCACAGGCTATCATCATGGAGAATGAAACGGTTCTGGCCAGGGTCGCGTACACTCTCGCGCCAGGAAGCATGGTGTACCTGAACTCCGAGGACATGTTCTACCTCAAGGTCAACGACAAGAACAATATCTGGCGAACCATCGATATGGTACGAGGCTTTACTGCGAAGATATGTTGTGGGACCCAGCTTGTGAACCACGGAATTGACCGTGGCCCGATCACGCTTCCCTGATACCCACGATGAAGGAAAAGATCGGGAAGGACGTGGACACAACCGTTTACTACAGAGCTCGACCTCGTTAGTGTCGTGTCGTGCGTGGAGTTAACGCGTGTGTATTTATACCTCGGATGTGTGAGTCATACATGCGCTAACATCGAGATCTATGTGTGAGGATAATCCAAGATAAATATCAGTGTGAATGAGGGGTGGGGGGTTGAGGATCCGCGTGAGTGGCGCCATGCTGCGAAAAGGGGAGCCCTGTGTCGGGGGGTGGAGCGACCGGCTTAAGGGGTGTGAATAAACACGATTCACGACAAGATGAAGAACACCAGAGTGGGCAACGCCCAAGCGACGACAGGGTTATCCTACGTGATTCATCACAGAGGATGCGTTTAGGCTGCGCGCGTAGAATTTAACCAACTCGTGGAGAATACTACTATTTGCGAAATAAGTAATATGTGTCTGTGTTTGTTTTAGAAAACGCAAAGTGAATCTGTCAGCATTCCTGAACCTCCAAAGGTAATGCCTCTCGTTTAAATTGTCTTCGACTAGTTACGGAAGCCATTGTTTGGATTATACACGAATTAGATTGCATTAACTTAGCACAACCAATCAGCTCTTGAGACTTGCGTTACCCGCCCAATCAAATTGTCCCTCTTGTTAGGACGAAGTTTTATTGGTGATGACAGCCGCAATTGTGTACAATTACTTCGGTCTAAAACGACAATAGTTCTACAATAAGAAACCAATCTAAGGTACACCCAAAACTGTTAAAATTGCATCAGGAATGTCGTAAGATTTCTAAAGTACCAGCAAGATGTCAAATGCTCATTGGACAGATTCGCAGTGGTAAATTTAAATGCGTTCCACCAACTGTGGGCACAAAATTGTGGCTTTCCCCATCACAAAACCGAAATTACTTACTTGCTAATCCAGTGGATCTTTGTAAGCATGTTTGAAGGCCATTTTGCCATGGCAACCAGTGGTTTGTCAATTTTCTGTTCAGGATCAAGTAAAAAACGTATCCTCCCACTAATAAAACAACCATTTTGAACACTTTCAGACTACTACGACTACCGCGGCTCCAGTGCCCCTGCCAGACGATCTCGTCGGAAAAAGCGTAAGACACCCTCTACTAATTATATTAAAGTAGCAATTTATATTTTAAAAATCCACTATTTGGTTGCAGCTCATCTTGGCGGCGCAAAATGGTCCGTTGAACGGGGAGCTGCGATTTGGCGCTAAATTCGGCAGTGGTCATTCGGGCGCCATCTTCACCTGCCAGAGGGCTGCTAGGCAACACAATCTATCGCAACTATTCTACCCGCTGATGAACACCGACGTCTTCAACATGGACTACGTTGTACCTCCGATGTATCGATTCGATCTACCGATTGTCAACATTCGTGTAAGTCCAACAAACACAGTTTTTGGGCCATTTTAAATTTCTGTAGATAAATGTTCGTTTTTTTCTATGTAGGGTGAAATTTTGTTTGACGACTACGTGCATTTAGTTAACGGAGAGCAAGCCCCTCAGGCTCCGATTCTCGCATTCGATGGAAAGGACATTAACTCAGATCCACTGTAAGTTGATTGGTCCTCCGAGTTGCAGCGCCCTTGAATTCTGATTGGTTCATTTTTAGGAAAATCGATTAACATTTGTGTATACTGAGAATCTATATCAATGTTCCTAGATTCACCATCCTGGATATGTAAAATAATTGAAATGTTTTAAAAATTTTTTAACTATTGATCTTACAGGGCGCCATGTGTGTGGGTAGGCGCGAAGCCAATCTACCTCAACGGTGACTACGAATTTGCCGCCAGATCAAAGTGTCGCAATTGGCAGACGCACGATCCTACTGAACGCGGATTGGCTGTTCACGTGCCAATGAATTCGAACTCCGTGGGATTTTTCGACGAATCCAACCTCTACGAGGAGTCGTGTGTAAAGCGCTGCAACATTCTCTGTATCCAAATTTCACCAAAATAGGACGTTGTCCGCTTTGATCGATTGTGCCCGCAAAGAATTGTCTGTATCCAATCACATTCTCCAAATCTACTCACACTGTCAATGTGACCGAGCAAGCACGAATGCCACTAATCATTCACTGAGATGGACTTTGTGGATGTCTTTGTTTTCAAAAACTAGGTTTCACTTGTGTTTTTTTTTGTCTCGATGATTACTTATGTCAGGAGGGCGTCGTCAGTTGTCAGTCAGTGAATTACTCAGTAATGTTAAAGCTTTAATGAGGCAATGAGAAGAATTTTGTCGTTCGGAGCCACAAACGTGTTGGATTTGACTTTAGGCTACTGTTTCAGCAGCCGTTAGTGTTCTTCCTGGTCAGTTTATTGAACATGCTTGGCATTTCTATTGTACAAGAGCATTCAGCTATCAAATAAGTAGAACAAAAGCTGGCAGGCTACTCCTTACATTGCAAACACTGAGCACAGACGAATCACTTGAAGGCTAAATTTAGGAATGCGAAAAATATAACCTGTTTTCACCACAATTTTCTTCAGGGAAAAAATGGGTAAATAAATGCTTAGAAACGTGTGCTGATCATCTTAAAATTTAGATGAGGATGGTGGTGATTTACGGAGTTTAATTTACTGTATTATACAAGGCGCTAATTCCTTAAATAGTTAACGTTATAATAGACTAACATGCAAAGTTTCACTTATAGCTAAATAAACCGTTTTTTAAATGAACGCAGATGATCATAATTTATTATTTACTAAAAATTCTCACTATTGTCACATTAAACATAGGACTGTGCAGAATCTTTTACTGCTTAACGGTACCACAGAATGAATTTTAAAAACCCCTGTTTGACAATACCATCTAACGACAAATGTCCGGGTACTGAAATACATCAAATATTAACGGGCGTTTAAGTGTTTACGGGGACAGATTCCGAAGAATCACCTCA